AGTATAGCTCCCTACAGCTTCCTCCCAGATGGAGGGAGGTATGAAGTTATTCTAATCAAATCAAGTCAAATCAAATCAAATTGTATTGGTCACATGCGCCGAATACAACAGGTGCAGACATTACAGTGAAATGCTTACTTACAGCCCTTAACCAACAGTGCATTTATTTTTAACAAAAAAAGTAAAAATAAAACAACAACAAAAAAAGTGTTGAGAAAAAAAGAGCAGAAGTAAAATAAAATAACAGTAGGGAGGCTATATATACAGGGGGGTACCGGTGCAGAGTCAATGTGTGGGGGCACCGGCTAGTTGAGATAGTTGAAGTAATATGTACATGTGGGTAGAGTTAAAGTGACTATGCATAAATAATTAACAGAGTAGCAGCAGCGTAAAAAGGATGGGGTGGGGGGGCAGTGCAAATAGTCCGGGTAGCCATGATTAGCTGTTCAAGAGTCTTATGGCTTGGGGGTAGAAGCTGTTGAGAAGTCTTTTGGACCTAGACTTGGCACTCCGGTACCGCTTGCCGTGCGGTAGCAGGGAGAACAGTCTATGACTAGGGTGGCTGGAGTCTTTGACAATTTTGAGGGCCTTCCTCTGACACCGCCTGGTATAGAGGTCCTGGATGGCAGGAAGCTTGGCCCCAGTGATGTACTGGGCCGTACGCACTACCCTCTGTAGTGCCTTGCGGTCGGAGGCCAAGCAGTTGCCATACCAGGCGGTGATGCAACCAGTCAGGATGCTCTCGATGGTGCAGCTGTAGAATTTTTTGAGGATCTGAGGACCCATGCCAAATCTTTTCAGTCTCCTGAGGGGGAATAGGCTTTGTCGTGCCCTCTTCACGACTGTCTTGGTGTGTTTGGACCATGATAGTTCGTTGGTGATGTGGACACCAAGGAACTTGAAGCTCTCAACCTGTTCCACTACAGCCCCGTCGATGAGAATGGGGGCGTGCTCAGTCCTCTTTTTTTTCCTGTAGTCCACAATCATCTCCTTTGTCTTGGTCACGTTGAGGGAGAGGTTGTTGTCCTGGCACCACACGGCCAGGTCTCTGACCTCCTCCCTATAGGCTGTCTCATCGTTGTCGGTGATCAGGCCTACCACTGTTGTGTCGTCGGCAAACTTAATGATGGTGTTGGAGTCGTGCCTGGCCATGCAGTCATGGGTGAACAGAGAGTACAGGAGGGGACTGAGCACGCACCCCTGAGGGGCCCCCGTGTTGAGGATCAGTGTGGCAGATGTGTTGTTACCTACCCTTACCACCTGGGGGTGGCCTATCAGGAAGTCCAGGATCCAGTTGCAGCGGGAGGTGTTTAGTCCCAGGATCCTTAGCTTAGTGATGAGCTTAGAGGGCACTATGGTGTTGAATGCTGAGCTGTAGTCAATGAATAGCATTCTCACGTAGGTGTTCCTCTTGTCCAGGTGGGAAAGGGCAGTGTGGAGTGCAATAGAGATTGCATCATCTGTGGATCTGTTGGGGCGGTATGCAAATTGGAGTGGGTCTAGGGTTTCTGGGATAATGCTGTTGATGTGAGCCATGACCAGCCTTTCAAAGCACTTCATGGCTACAGACGTCAGTGCTACGGGTCGGTAGTCATTTAGGCAGGTTATCTTAGAGTCCTTGGGCACGGGGACTATGGTGGTCTGCTTGAAACATGTTGGTATTACAGACTCAGTCAGGGACATGTTGAAAATGTCAGTGAAGACACTTGCCAGTTGGTCAGCACATGCTCGGAGTACACGTCCTGGTAATCCGTCTGGCCCTGCGGCCTTGTGAATGTTGACCTGCTTAAAAGTCTTACTCACATCGGCTACGGAGAGCGTGATCACATAGTCATCCGGAACAGCTGGTGCTCTCATGCATGCTTCAGTGTTGCTTGCCTCGAAGCGAGCATAGAAGTGGTTTAGCTCGTCTGGTAGGCTTGTGTCACTGGGCAGCTCACGGCTGTGCTTCCCTTTGTAGTCTGTAATAGTTTTCAAGCCCTGCCACATCCGAAGAGCGTCAGAGCCAGTGTAGTACGATTCAATCTTAGCCCTGTATTGACTCTTTGCCTGTTTGATGGTTCGTCGGAGGGCATAGCGGGATTTCTTATAAGCGTCCGGGTTAGAGTCCCGTTCCTTGAAAGCGGCAGCTCTACCCTTTAGCTCAGTGCGGATGTTTCCTGTAATCCATGGCTTCTGGTTGGGGTATGTACGTACGGTCACTGTGGGGACGACATCATCGATGCACTTATTGATGAAGCCAGTGACTGATGTGGTGTACTCCTCAATGCTGTCTGAAGAATCCCGGAACATGTTCCAGTCTGTGCTAGCAAAACAGTCCTGTAGCTTAGCATCTGCGTCATCTGACCACTTTTTTATTAACCGAGTCACTGGTGCTTCCTGCTTTAGTTTTTGCTTATAAGCAGGAATCAGGAGGATAGAGTTATGGTCAGATTTGCCAAATGGAGGGCGAGGGAGAGCTTTGTATGCGTCTCTGTGTGTGGAGTAAAGGTGGTCTAGAGTTTTTTTTCCTCTGGTTGCACATTTAACATGCTGGTAGAAATTAGGTAGAACGGATTTAAGTTTCCCTGCATTAAAGTCCCCGGGCAACTAGGAGTGCTGCATCTGGATGAGCGTTTTCCTGTTGATTTATGGCCTTGTACAACTCATTCAGTGCAATCGTAATGCCAGCATTGGTTTGTGGTGGTAAATAGACAGCTATGAAAAATATAGATGAAAACTCTCTTGGTAAATAGTGTGGTCTACAGCTTATCAGTCAGACCGACAGACAGTCAGACAGACAAACAGACAGTCAGACCGACAGACAGACAGACAGTCAGTCAGTCAGACAGACAGTGCTTTTGTTGTCAGATTGTATTTTCCGTAATGGAAGCTTAGAGTGAAAGCACCGCCAGCATTCAAAAGTGACCAAAACATCAGCCAGGAAGCATAGGAACTGAGAAGTGGTCTGTGGTCACCACCTGCAGAACCACTCCTTTATTGGGGGTGTCTTGCTAATTGCCTATAATTTCCACCTGTTGTCTATTCCATTTGCACAACAGCATGTTAATTTTATTGTCAATCAGTGTTGCTTCCTAAGTGGACAGTTTGATTTCACAGAAGTGTGATTGACTTGGAGTTACATTGTGTTGTTTAAATGTTCCCTTAATTTTTTTGAGCAGTGTATATATTTTTGTTTTTTTGTGAGTTTTTTTACTCAAACCAACCCTGCTGTAGAGTCTAGACAATGTGTGTCTGTCTGTGTCTGTATCCTCTCTCCTTAGCCTGAGTAATAACCAGTGATGAACTATGTCTGTGTGTCTGTCTATGTCTATGTGTCTGTCTATGTCTGTGTGTCTGTCTATGTCTATGTGTCTGTCTATGTCTGTGTGTCTGTCTATGTCTGTGTGTCTGTCTATGTCTATGTGTCTGTCTATGTCTATGTGTCTGTCTATGTCTGTGTGTCTGTCTATGTCTGTGTGTCTGTCTATGTCTGTGTGTCTGTCTATGTCTGTTTGTCTGTCTATGTCTGTGTGTCTGTCTATGTCTGTGTGTCTGTCTATGTCTATGTGTCTGTCTATGTCTGTTTGTCTGTCTATGTCTGTGTGTCTGTCTATGTCTGTGTGTCTGTCTATGTCTGTGTGTATGTCTATGTCTGTGTGTCTGTCTATGTGTCTGTCTATGTCTGTGTGTCTGTCTATGTGTCTGTGTGTCTGTGTGTCTGTCTATGTCTATGTGTCTGTCTATGTGTCTGTCTATGTCTGTGTGTCTGTCTATGTCTATGTGTCTGACTATGTCTGTTGGTCTGTCTCCTCTCTCCAGACCGAGGAGAACACAGTGATGAAGGATGCTCTGGGGAAGATGAAGAACTCCAAGGAGAAACACATGTGCTGGCAGGACGGACGGTTGTTTGAAGATAAGGAGGACTGGGTGGTGGACAGCTGCACCACATGTACCTGCCAGGTAGGAGACATACAGACCACCTTAAATGGAGAGACATGAGAGACATAGAATGTGCTAGGGGGGATATGGTTATACATTGATTGATAGATTTGGTTGGTTAATTGGTTGGTTGATTAATTGATCCCAAATGAATCAGTCCTCAACATTTGACCGGTGCCCAGATCCTATGGTCTTACAAGACACTAATTCATACATAGGTCACCTATAGCAACTAATGTCAAAACATTTTTTTTTTGCTGCTCATGGCAGGACTCAAAGATTGTGTGTCACCAAATCACCTGTCCTCCTGTGGCCTGTGCTAGCCCCTCCTTCATCGACGGAGAGTGTTGCCCTGTGTGTCTGCGTAAGTAGCCACTCATTCTACACACCATTCTATCATTAAAGCTACAATGTACCCTTGCAAAAGTCTAATCCTGACCCATGACCATTGAACAGAAGGCAAAATAGCAGAATGTGGCTTTAATAACTGTTTACATGAGCTTTACAGGAGTAATCGCAATTAGGAAATGTACTGAAGTGAAAACGAGACTCCTGAGCCCTGTAAAAACAATGGCATCACATTTACCAATAAACAACTTCTCTCACAAACACACCTTGCTTCATTTCACATCTGACTGAAGTCCTTTCTAGATCCAAAGCCTCCGATGCCTGATCTGAGTACCGGAAAAACAAAGTTTCTATGCATATTAAGTTTGAATAATAGAGCCGTGTTATTGTTGTACAGCTGGTTGGTCTGTAAAGGGACGACCACGTTTTATTGTTCTACATGAAAACAGCAGGACTACAGGCTGCCATGCTCTGAATTGCTGAAGTGGTCACTGTGAACATGACGTCATATAAGACGGAGCTGCTCTTCCTCCTGGGGAAGGACTGCCCGCTCCATGATCTCGCCATCACGGTTGACAACTCCATTGTGTCCTCCTCCCAGAGTGCAAAGAACCTTGGCGTGACCCTGGACAACACCCTGTCGTTCTCTGCTAACATCAAAGCGGTGACCCGATCCTGCAGGTTCATGCTCTACAACATTCGCAGAGTACGACCCTGCCTTACACAGAAAGCGGCACAGGTCCTAATCCAGGCACTTGTCATCTTCCGTCTGGATTACTGCAACTCGCTGTTGGCTGGGCTCCCTGCCTGTGCCATTAAACCCCTGCAATTTATCCAGAACGCTGCAGCCCGTCTGGTGTTCAACCTTCCCAAGTTCTCTCACGTCACCCCGCTCCTCCGCACACTCCACTGTCTTCCAGTTGAAGCTCACATCTACTACAAAACCATGGTGCTTGCCTACGGAGCTGTGAGGGGAACTAACACATTACTTATTTACTTGTTTAAAGAAATGTACTTATTGTGATTGAGATGTAGTTGTCCCTGATTGCATTGACTTTGCTCACAGCTGCTTGTTTGAAGAAGTGTACTTACTGTGATCAAGATGTGGTTGTCCCACTGGCTATCCTAAGTTGAATGCACCAATTTGTAAGTCGCTCTGGATAAGAGTGTCTGCTAAATGACTTAAATGTAAATGATATAAAACCTAAGAATCAAAACCGACTACTCTCCAGAGTTTTGTTTCTCTGCATCTTTTGAACCGTTCCTAGTTCCAACAATGACACAGAGCAACTGTAGAGGAGATGGTGTGGTAGGGGAAACATGCAATAATGCAATGAGTTTACTTCATCGTAGAAAGATAGCTCTGCATGTTTATTTTGTTAAAGTTTTGGTTAATTAAATTGAATGTAAATAATGTAATTTTTTTATGAGAGCTTATTTTGTTAAAAAATATATAAATCAATCTAGATAGCAGTGTTTTCACTTTTCAGAGCCAGAAAAATATGATTTGTCATTAATAACCCCTTGAGTGATTCTGTTTCCTCCAGCTAAGGACAGTGAGGATGGCTGGTCCCCCTGGTCAGAGTGGACAGAGTGTACTGTCACCTGTGGGACAGGTACTCAACAGAGAGGACGCTCATGTGATGCCACCAGTAACCCCTGCTCTGGACCATCCATCCAGACCAGGAAATGCAGCTTAGGAAAATGTGACAGCCGAGGTGAGTCAACGTCTCTGCTATAGTCTCCTTTGTGTCAACCTACCTTGTGGTTTGTTGAACTCTATTGGTTAGACTGTTTTAACTCTAAAGTTTGTTGCGATTTTAAATACACTTGATATAAAGTTTGATTTAATATGATTTGATTAGACCAACTAAGGACCTTTGGATGAGCATGATGGCACCTCTCTCTAGCTCCCAACTCATACCATTACCACTGAGTAAGTTAGAATAGTTTTAGCCAAAAAAGTGTTTACAGACAAAAGACAATGACAACATAAATACAATATTTTCCTGCAACTGCCATGTTAAAGTGTGTTTGTTTCTGTGTGCACATGAGTGTGTTTGTGCATGTGAGTGTGAGTGTGTGTGTGTGAGTGTATGTTTGTGAAAGGATCAAGAGAGAGGATGATGTCGTTAGAAGCAGCTGTGTAATGATGGAAAAGGGGACAAAGTGACTGAATAGAAATATAGGGTACTGCTCTGCTAGGCTGGAGATGGCTGGACAGGGACCTCATCCCTCTCTGACTCAAAATACTTGTCTCTGTCTCTGTCTCTGTCTCTCTCTCTCTCTCTCTCTCTCTCTCTCTCTCTCTCTCTCTCTCTCTCTCTTTCTCTCTCTCGATCTCTCTCTCTGTCTCTGTCTGTCTGTCTCTCTCTCTCTCTCTCTCTCTGTGTCTGTCTGTCTCTCTCTCTGTCTGTCTGTCTCTGTCTGTCTCTCTCTCTCTCGCTCTGTCTCTGTCTGTCTGTCTGTCTCTCTCTCTCTGTCTGTCTGTCTGTCTCTCTGTCTCTGTCTATCTCTCTGTCTGTCTCTCTTTCTCTCTGTCTGCTGTGGGAAATAGATCCCGTACATGTCTGTAGAGGGTGTGTCCATCCTGTTAGCTCTAAAGGGTATTCCACCCAGCACTGACTCACTAGTACCCCCCAAACAATGTGACCCATAGTGATCTACATATCAGTGGTTTATTATACTGCAACCAAATGACCCAGAAATTGATAATAAAGGCCTTTTGAATCTGAATAATAAACGCAATTTAGCAGACACTTGTATCCGAGGCAACTTACAGTCATACGTGCATACATATTTATTTATTTTTGTGATCCTGGGAATCAAACCCACTGTTCTGGCGTTGCAAGCAGCATGTTCTACCAAATGCGCTACAGAGGACCACCATATTACATGTATGTCTTTCCCCAATACACTGCCTTGACTGACCCTGTGTCCCTGTGTGTGTTCAGTTCGTCAGGACGGTGGGTGGAGCCTGTGGTCTCCATGGTCATCATGTTCGGTGACGTGTGGCGAGGGCCAGATCACCAGGATACGCCACTGCAACGCCCCCACACCACAACTGGGGGGCAAAGACTGTGAGGGCCAGGGGAGAGAGACACAGCGCTGTGAGGCAAAGCCCTGTCCCAGTGAGTATGGTGGCCCAAGAGGGACAACACAGACAGACAAGCACATTGTCCATATCAGACCTGGGGTCAACATTTTTGTTTTCTTTCAAATACTTTAGCTGTGCACTGATTGAGCTTGCCTCTTTCTTTAGGAAGATAATAAATACTTTGATCTGATGAATAACCACTGACCTGGATTTAAAAACAGGCAGAATAAGAAGTTTTACAGCTTGTTCCACTGATATAGGAGGGGCACCATTCACATGCTAAACATTCTGTCTGTCTTTTATAAAACGTCAAGCTCAAATCAACTCTGCATAGTGCCCTACTGCGGTTATAGCTTCCAGACTGCAACACGGCTGAGAATGTAATGACCCCTACAAGATGTGTAGAGTGGTTCGTGTGTGACTGTAGGCCTACAACTACCGTACTACTGTAATTCACTTTCTTATGGTAAAAGAGACAGTAATGTAAAGTAGTAAAACCTCACCATGGACTCTTGAAGACTAGCCCCCAAATGATCTAAAAGAGATCCTAACAAACATTGTGATGATCTACTAACTGTTTATTTGTTGTCCATGTGCAGTTGATGGTGGTTGGGGACCGTGGTCGCCATGGGCGATATGCTCAGCAACCTGTGGGGGCGGAGTTAAGGGTCGGACCCGTGTCTGTAACAGCCCTGAACCCCAGTACGGAGGCAAGGAGTGCCCCGGGGAGACCAACGACAGTAACGCCTGCAACAAACAGGACTGCCCTATCGGTGAGTGAGTGTGTACGTGTCTGTGTGTGGACTGTGTGTGTTTGTGTGCATGCGTATGTGTGTGTCGCACCCAGCACCTCTGACCCAACCCCTTATCCCTTTCCCTCGGTCACTTTGAGTTATTCTAACCTTCCCTCACTCCCATCAAGTTATTTCAGTACATTCTAGCATTCCTGTTGAGGTATTATTCCTCATTTAAACATTCCTGTGATATGTGCTCTTAGAATGGCCTCCAGGCAAAAGAAGATCACATATTTGTGCTGAAAACAAAGTCTGGGAGGATGTGTTTGGCCTATTAGGAGAAGGAAGATATTAGCTAATGGTAACATTGTGTTTGGGCAACAAGCTCTGAAAGCACTGAAACCTGCTAATTTGGAGAGAAATGAAGGGAGCAACCTGAAGGGAGCAACCTGAACAACCTGGAGAAGCTAAATGTCAATATGCGATATACAGTATCAATACACAAATGTCCAAACGTAGCTGCATTAGGCATGTCCTGGTTCTCTTCCTTACCATAACCGGTCGCCAACAAATTGTTTCCCTTCACATGGCTGTTTTTGTTATAGCTCTTTTAGACAGACAGCCGTCTGTCTAACCCATGCTAATCCCTGTCAGACAGCTGTCTGTCTAACCCATGCTAATCCCTGTCAGACAGCCGTCTGTCTAACCCATGCTAATCCCTGTCAGACAGCCGTCTGTCTAACCCATGCTAATCCCTGTCAGACAGCTGTCTGTCTAACCCATGCTAATCCCTGTCAGACAGCCGTCTGTCTAACCCATGCTAATCCCTGTCAGACAGCCGTCTGTCTAACCCATGTTTTATTGTTCCCTGTCAGACAGCTGTCTGTCTAACCCATGCTAATCCCTGTCAGACAGCCGTCTGTCTAACCCATGCTAATCCCTGTCAGACAGCCGTCTGTCTAACCCATGTTTTATTGTTCCCTGTCAGACAGCCGTCTGTCTAACCCATGCTAATCCCTGTCAGACAGCCGTCTGTCTAACCCATGCTAATCCCTGTCAGACAGCTGTCTGTCTAACCCATGTTTTATTGTTCCCTGTCAGACAGCCGTCTGTCTAACCCATGCTAATCCCTGTCAGACAGCCGTCTGTCTAACCCATGCTAATCCCTGTCAGACAGCCGTCTGTCTAACCCATGTTTTATTGTTCCCTGTCAGACAGCCGTCTGTCTAACCCATGCTAATCCCTGTCAGACAGCCGTCTGTCTAACCCATGCTAATCCCTGTCAGACAGCCGTCTGTCTAACCCATGTTTTATTGTTCCCTGTCAGACAGCTGTCTGTCTAACCCATGCTAATCCCTGTCAGACAGCTGTCTGTCTAACCCATGCTAATCCCTGTCAGACAGCTGTCTGTCTAACCCATGTTTTATTGTTCCCTGTCAGACAGCTGTCTGTCTAACCCATGCTAATCCCTGTCAGACAGCTGTCTGTCTAACCCATGTTTTATTGTTCCCTGTCAGACAGCTGTCTGTCTAACCCATGCTAATCCCTGTCAGACAGCCGTCTGTCTAACCCATGTTTTATTGTTCCCTGTCAGACAGCTGTCTGTCTAACCCATGCTAATCCCTGTCAGACAGCTGTCTGTCTAACCCATGCTAATCCCTGTCAGACAGCTGTCTGTCTAACCCATGTTTTATTGTTCCCTGTCAGACAGCTGTCTGTCTAACCCATGCTAATCCCTGTCAGACAGCTGTCTGTCTAACCCATGCTAATCCCTGTCAGACAGCTGTCTGTCTAACCCATGTTTTATTGTTCCCTGTCAGACAGCTGTCTGTCTAACCCATGCTAATCCCTGTCAGACAGCTGTCTGTCTAACCCATGTTTTATTTTTCCCTGTCAGACGGCTGTCTGTCTAACCCATGCTAATCCCTGTCAGACAGCTGTCTGTCTAACCCATGCTAATCCCTGTCAGACAGCCGTCTGTCTAACCCATGCTAATCCCTGTCAGACAGCCGTCTGTCTAACCCATGTTTTATTGTTCCCTGTCAGACAGCTGTCTGTCTAACCCATGCTAATCCCTGTCAGACAGCTGTCTGTCTAACCGATGCTAATCCCTGTCAGACAGCTGTCTGTCTAACCCATGTTTTATTGTTCCCTGTCAGACAGCTGTCTGTCTAACCCATGCTAATCCCTGTCAGACAGCCGTCTGTCTAACCCATGTTTTATTGTTCCCTGTCAGACAGCTGTCTGTCTAACCCATGCTAATCCCTGTCAGACAGCTGTCTGTCTAACCCATGCTAATCCCTGTCAGACAGCTGTCTGTCTAACCCATGTTTTATTGTTCCCTGTCAGACAGCTGTCTGTCTAACCCATGCTAATCCCTGTCAGACAGCTGTCTGTCTAACCCATGCTAATCCCTGTCAGACAGCTGTCTGTCTAACCCATGTTTTATTGTTCCCTGTCAGACAGCTGTCTGTCTAACCCATGCTAATCCCTGTCAGACAGCTGTCTGTCTAACCCATGTTTTATTTTTCCCTGTCAGACAGCTGTCTGTCTAACCCATGCTAATCCCTGTCAGACAGCTGTCTGTCTAACCCATGCTAATCCCTGTCAGACAGCTGTCTGTCTAACCCATGTTTTATTGTTCCCTGTCAGATGGCTGTCTGTCTAACCCATGCTTTGGAGGAGTGGACTGTAACAGCGCCTCTGACGGATCCTGGGAGTGTGGACCCTGCCCCCTTGGTTTCCGTGGCAATGGCACCCACTGTGAAGATATCGACGAGGTAATTTAGGGTTAAAGAAGGTTACACAAGTTAGATACTTTAACTAATAGTTAGGTTAACCCTAACCTTAACCTTAGCTCTAATCATAGTGTAGATCCCCAGGCTATGCCTAACCCTAACCATTAGTTCATCCTGAACTCATTCATATTCATGACCTGTTACCCTATTATAATCTGACCCTACTTCTGATCCTCTTCCTCCTCAGTGTGACATGGGCTCTGATAGATCAATTTGATTGATTTATTGATTGATTGATTTGATATGATCCTCTTCCTCCACAGTGTGAAGTGGGCTCTGATAGATCAATTTGATTGATTGATTGATTGATTTGATCTGATCCTCTTCCTCCACAGTGTGACGTGGGCTCTGATAGATCAATTTGATTGATTGATTGATTTGATCTGATCCTCTTCCTCCTCAGTGTGACGTGGGCTCTAATAGATCAATTTGATTGATTGATTGATTTGATCTGATCCTCTTCCTCCTCAGTGTGACATGGTCTCAGATGTCTGCTTTAAAGCTGGTGGAGCATCGCGTTGCGTCAACACAGACCCAGGGTTCCACTGTCTGGCCTGCCCACCCCGCTACAAGGGAAAGCAGCCCTTCGGTGTGGGGGTGGAGGCCGCCAGCAAGAACAAACAGGTACGTCTGTGCCACTCTACATCGGTTTTAGACCTAGTGTATTCTTTAGGCAGCGTTTACACAGGCAGCCCAGTTACGGGTAAAAGATCAGAATTGGACCGCCTGTGTAAACGCAGCCTTAGACGCGTACACACAGACGCTTGACGCACGCAGACATAAAACCTACCTCAAAGATACTATCTAGGGAAAGTAAAAGCCCCTATAGCTGTAGAGCTGTCTGAATTGGCAGTTCAAAGTTACGTGCCGTATGCTCCCAATATTTATGTCTGATAGTATTGTAGCCAGCCAAGGTAATTCCTAATTTTTGGAATATGTGTGTGCACTCTGCTCTAAGGGAGGCCTCCGGGCCACCATACATGAACATGACACACCTTGACCCCGTATCAGGAGAGATAGAAGGGGAAGGAGGATAGAAGAGTTATGAAGCTAATAGCAAACATATTTTATTTGTATTACTTGACACGGTCATAATCATGTCATAACAGCAGACATAACTTGTCATAACCTATCATAATATGGTCGTAACACTGTCATGACCCATATAGTTACACCTTTTGTGACATATATTGCGTTATTTTATGGCTGGTTATGACATCTACATAATAGTGTCAAAACCCACATTTATTCCCCCAAAAAAATCCCTGCCAAGAAGTTTGTTTCTTAAATCCTTTGTTGTTGTTGTAAGGAATTCTTTACAGTCATGTTTTTTCAAAATATTTAAAATAAGTTGTAGAAAATACACTTTAAGACACTGTCATGAAGCATTATGACCATTCTGTGTCACATTACTTGGACTAAGAAAATACACTTTATGACACTGTCAAGAAGCATTAAGTTTACAACGTAGGTCGAGAGAAAAATTTGAGATGACAGACAGTGACACATGGACAGACAGTGACACATTCAATACCGCCTGGCACACTCTTGCCTGCATCTAGCTTATCTAGGGTGTAATCATTAGTCCAACAGTTGCAAACAAGAGTTTCTATTGGACAAATTCAGGTATTTTTATCCCCGTTTCGTTTGCTTCCGTTTAAGAAACGTTTTTCAACAGAATCGGCAGAATGAATACACCCCTGATCACGCATAAACACAGTTCACTTTCATGGTAGCCACTTCACTTTGTACGCCTCAATGCACTCTACTCCTCTCACCTTTTCCCTTCGTTTGTGGACTTCAAAGAACAACACATCAGCTGTATGTGACCAGGCGAAAATACCTTTCCAAGCCAAACCATGTCATAACCACTACACACAGCCTACATCGTTGTCCCCATATTAGCTAAAGTAAAGTCCTAGTCAACATAGCTAATAGAACTAATGCGTTAGAAAACCCGCTACAATAATGCAGTAACGTTACAGTGTATAGTCAGTAAGCAGTTAGACCGGCGGGCCCTGGTGGCAATAAATTAATAAAACCAAAAGCTTACCTTGACTTGGAAGAGTTCCAGTGTCGTGTTGGATAGTCATAGCCAGCTAGCTAACATAGCATCCCTCTATTTGAGCCGGGTGTTTGAGAACTAAACTAGCCAGCTACATTTGCTAGCTAAGTAAGTGAAACTGAAAGTGAAAAAAAAGGACAAAATCTCTCTCTCTGTCTCTCTCTCTCCCTCTTGCTTCTCCTTCATTTTTGAATACATTAATTTGTTCAAAACTGTTCAACTATTGTCTTTCTCTTTGAGTCAACTGCTCACCTTATTTTATGCACTGCAGTGCTAGCTAGCTGTAGCTTATGCTTTCAGTACTAGATTAATTATCTGATCCTTTGATTGGGTTGGACAACATGTCAGTTCATGCTGCGAGAGCTCTGATAGGTTGGAGGACATCCTTCCGGAAGTTGTCATAATTACTGAGTACGTTTATGGAAGGGGGTGAGAACCAAGAGCCTCCTAGGTTTTGTATTGAGGTCAATGTACCAAGAGGAGGACTTAAGCTAGCTGTCCTCCGGCTACTCCATGGTGCTACCCTACAGAGTACTGTTGAGGCTACTGTAGACCTTCATTGCAAAACAGTGTGTTTTAATCAGTTATTTGGTGACGTGAATTTATATAGTATAGTTTTATCTAAAAGGATAACTTTTTCAATGTTTTATTTTATTTTTTATTTTTTATTCACTGTGGAGGATGGTCCTCCCCTTCCTCCTCCGAGGAGCCTCCACTGGTAGAGGTGGTAAGTGGTATGAGGTTTGGTTTACAGTATTACTGGAGGTGGTATGAGGCTTGGTTTACAGTATTAGTAGAGGTTGTAGGTGGTATGAGGCTTGGTTTACAGTATTAGTAGAGGTGGTAGTTGGTATGAGGCTTGGTTTACAGTATTAGTCGAGGTGGTATGAGGCTTGCTTTACAGTATTAGTAGAGGTGATAGGTGGTATGAGGCTTGGTTTACAGTATTAGTAGAGGTGGTATGAGGCTTGGTTTACAGTATTAGTAGAGGTGGTATGAGGCTTGGTTTACAGTATTAGTAGAGGTGGTATGAGGTTTGGTTTACAGTATTAGTAGAGGTGGTATGAGGCTTGGTTTACAGTATTAGTAGAGGTGGTATGAGGCTTGGTTTACAGTATTAGTAGAGGTGGTATGAGGCTTGGTTTACAGTATTAGTAGAGGTGGTATGAGGCTTGGTTTACAGTATTAGTGGAGGTGATAGGTGGTATGAGGCTTGGTTTACAGTATTAGTGGAAGTGGTAGGTGGTATGAGGCTTGGTTTACAGTATTAGTAGAGGTGGTATGAGGCTTGGTTTACAGTATTAGTGGAGGTGGTAGGTGGTATGAGGCTTGGTTTACAGTATTAGTGGAGGTGGTATGAGACTTGGTTTACATTATTAGTAGAGGTGATATGAGGCTTGATTTACAGTATTAGTAGAGGTGGTATGAGGCTTGGTTTAAAGTATTAGTAGAGGTGGTATGAGGCTTGGTTTCCAGTATTAGTAGAGGTGGTATGAAGCTTGGTTTCTAGTATTAGTAGAGGTGGTATGAGGCTTGGTTTAAAGTATTAGTAGAGGTGGTATGAGGCTTGGTTTAAAGTATTAGTAGAGGTGGTATCAGGCTTGGTTTCCAGTAATAGTAGAGGTGGTGTCAGGCTTGTTTTCCAGTATTAGTAGAGGTGGTATGAGGCTTGGTTTCCAGTATTAGTAGAGGTGGTATGAGGCTTGGTTTACAGTATTAGTAGAGGTGGTATGAGGCTTGGTTTACAGTATTAGTAGAGGTGGTATGAGGCTTGGTTTTACAGTATTAGTAGAGGTGGTATGAGGCTTGGTTTACAGTATTAGTAGAGGTGGTATGAGGCTTGGTTTACAGTATTAGTAGAGGTGGTATGAGGCTTGGTTTTACAGTATTAGTAGAGGTGGTATGAGGCTAGGTTTCCAGTATTAGTAGAGGTGGTATGAGGCTTGGTTTACAGTATTAGTAGAGGTGGTATGAGGCTTGGTTTACAGTATTAGTAGAGGTGGTATGAGGCTTGGTTTACAGTATTAGTAGAGGTGGTATGAGGCTTGGTTTACAGTATTAGTAGAGGTGGTATGAGGCTAGGTTTACAGTATTAGTAGAGGTGGTATTAGGCTAGGTTTACAGTATTAGTAGAGGTGGTAGTTGGTATGAGAGCTATAAAATGTGTGGAACTTTACAAAGTAATGTCTTTGTGTGTTTGATGGTGTCTGTGTTAGCACTCTGTTTCCACTATAACCACAAATATAATTTATGACTTTTTAATGATTTTCTGTTAGGTCATCAGCTACTGGCACCACATCTGTTGTGGTATAAATACATTGTTTCTCCTTTAAACCTGTAATAACTGTTGGGAAGTTTAATCATTTAGCTACACAACTCTGCTATCCAATAGACCTGGGTTCAAATACTATTTGAAATAATTTAAAATACTATCAGGGCTTGATTGAGCTTGCCTGGCACAATGGAACCAATAGAATAGTCACAACACTACAAACCCCGCCTATCTGGCACTCCAGACAGGCAAAAGCAAACACTCAAAGTATTTGAATAATCTCAAATAGTATTTGAACCAATATCTGCTCTTCCCTAACTTTGCATAACAGATCTAGTAAATCACTGCTATGTCACTGGTCTTTAAAAACTGGGCCAGCTCTGATCCGAGGATAACATTGTACAAATTGATTTTAGGGAAGAGGAAAGGGAATTGTCTCATAGCTGGCATTGAGCGCCTCTGTATCCCAGAGCTGATGAAATAAATCAATGTATTCTTATTGGTCATCACGCAACACTGTTGTAACGTTATGGTATGAGCTCATGGAGTGGCATCCACTCACATCCTATAGATGGATAGCTGTAGCCATAGAGATATAACAGTGTTCTCTTGCTGTAGCTACACAATACACTGTATCATAATCCACAGGGCACAGGGGGCATAGCAGAGCAGGGGGCATATATGTTCAGAAGTACAGCCCTCACATATGGCATGACATAACATGACAAGACATGACATGACATCACATAACATCACATAACATCACATAACATCACAAGACATCACATGACATAACATCACATAACATGACAAGACATGACATAACATCACATGACATAACATCACATAACATGACATCACATAACAAGACATAACATTTGAGAATACACTTCACGATGGGATTGAGACCCTGATTTACTGAACTTTTACCATGCTCTTCCTTAGGAAATGAAAAGATGTCAAATTAGACAAAACAAAATGTTTTATTTAAGCAGTAAGGTCAGAGGGGGTGTGGTATATGGCTAATATACCATGGCTAAGGGCTGTTCTTAGGCTGCTCGCTTTCTCTCTATCTCATCTCTATCTCAATCTCTCCAGGTCTGCGAGCCAGAGAACCCCTGCAAAGACAAGACCCACAGCTGTCACCGTTCAGCTGAGTGTATCTACCTTAGCCACTTCAGTGACCCCATGTATAAGTGTGAATGTAGGATAGGCTATGCCGGGGATGGCTTCATCTGTGGAGAGGACTCTGACCTAGACGGATGGCCCAATCAGAACCTGGTGTGTGGCGCCAACGCCAGCTATCACTGCAGGAAGGTAACAGACCCTAACTTTATGTTTCCTGGACCCAGATTAAGCCTAGTCCATAGTCCCCGATTAAGCCTAGACCTTCCTGGACTTGTCCTGGAATAAAAATGAGTTTCAATTGAGATTTTCCATTGAGCATGCACTTTAGTCTAGGACTAGGCTTAATCTAGGTCCAGGAAACTGTCCTTTTAACTTTCATCCTCAATACCAGACCTGCAGATTTTCCACATTTTCCAATCTTACAGTATGTCACTCGTTGATAGTTCTTCCTGTGGCTATTTCTAAAAAAGTTTCAATTTCTTTATCAATCTTTAACAGGATAACTGCCCCAACCTGCCTAACTCTGGACAAGAGGACTTTGACAACGACGGCCAGGGAGATGCTTGTGACAAGGATGATGACAACGATGGAATCGTGGATGAGAGAGTAGGAGACCTTTTTTAAAGGCCCTGTGAAGTCCAAAACGTTATTGTCCTGTGTTTTTATATATATATTTCCACACAATGAGGTTGGAATAATAGTGTGAAATAGTGAAAATTATGATGATGCCCTTTTAGTGCAAGAGCTGTTTGAAAAGATCACCTGAAATTTCAGCTTGTTTTGCATGGGTGGAGTTTTGGCCTGCCTGACGATATCACCAGGTGGTATAAGTTAATAGACCAATAACAAAGAGAGTTTCAAACCTAGCTAGTTTTCAGGTTACATATCCCTCCCATTAGGCTCCTCCAATTAGGCCCCTCACTCAGACCACTCCCAGACACTCCTAGCAAAATTCTTGCTTGAGAAATTGCTCTTTGCTAAGAAGCTTTTTTTGTTTATTTTCAAAGATTTTAATTGAAAACAATCACAGTTAGGTACTTGATTGTTACCCAGAAATGATTTGATATTGAGAAAAAAACGGCTGCGTTGGACCTTTAAGGTCTTGGTAAGACAATGGAAGTTTGCTTCAAAGGTCAATGTTTTATTGTTAAAACCAATGCATTTGGGCAAATGCCTTCATCAGGGTATTTAGATGAATTCAATAGGAAATCAAATGCCCTCTCCAAGAAATGGACGCTCTAATAATACATTATGCTGCTCTCTCTTCTCAGGACAACTGTCCTCTCCTGTACAACCCCAGACAGTTTGACTTTGATAAAGATGACGTGGGTGACCGTTGTGATAACTGCCCCTACGAACACAACCCTGCCCAGATTGACACCGACCACAACGGCGAAGGAGACGCATGCGCTGTCGACATTGATGGAGATGGTACTAGTTATTACTGACCAAATTAGTAAAGAATATGCATCGCCGTTATATTATAGTCATATGCTGTGAGATTAGGGAAAGGCTCCTTCAACTCTTAACTTTTATATGCCTCTAATATATTATTTAAAGGGATACTTTAAACTGATAATTGATCTCCTTCCCCAGAGTCAGATGAACTCGTTGATAGCATTTTTATGTCTCTGTGTGCGTTTTGAAGGAAGTTGCTAACTAGCGCTAGCGCAATTGCTAACTAGTGTTAGCGCAATGGCTGTTCGTCTATGGGTATCTGCTAGCATGCTAGTCATTGTGCTAACGCTAGTTAGCATTGGCTTGTGAAACTACCTCTAGCTTCTTTCATACTGGACACAGAGACATAAAAATGGTATCCACGAGTTCATCTGACTCTGGGGAAGTAAATAAAGTGCATCATTGCCAAAATCCCGAAGTATCCCTTTAACAGATAGTTAATGGGTACTAAGAAAATATTTAATGGATTATATGCGGGATAGTAAATCATGCAAAGGAATGACTAGCTGGCAGATTTGCGATTCATCTTTCCACCCTCAACTATCAAGTGATTGATTAGCATTAGCTACTTATATTGCACGGAATGTGATATGCCACATGCAAGCACAGGCAAGCAAATATCTAAGATTATGACTCAAGATAAGTCCTGCACACACAATATTACCTCTGCACTTGTCAATTGTCCATTTCATTGTGCATTTCCCCTTTCCTTTAGAAATCCCAAACGAGCAAGACAACTGTCCGTACGTGTACAACAATGACCAGAAGGACACTGACATGGATAGAGTGGGTGACCAGTGTGACAACTGTCCTCTGCTACACAACCCTGACCAGGTAGGGAAAAGGAACAGTCCCTATTACACATACTTGTGTAATTACAAAAGCTAACCCATTGCTATTAGGGTTGCTAAATTCCAGAAATGTTCCCAAAATTCCCAGAAATACCAGTTGTAGTTGGAGGATTCGCTCCCTCCTTATTCCTCATTCCAGGAATCTTCCAACTGGGATTTCTGGAAAACGTTTTGAAAATGAAGCTGGTAACTGTAACCTCTCCTCCCTTCTCCTCTCTTACAGGCTGACACAGACAATGACCTGTAACCCTCTATTCTCCTCTCTAACAGGCTGACACAGACAATGACCTGTAACCCTCTATTCTCCTCTCTAACAGGTTGACACAGACAATGACCTGTAACCCTCTCCTCTCTAACAGGTTGACACAGACAATGACCTCTAACCGTTTCCTCTCTAACAGGTTGACACAGACAATGACCTGTAACCCTCTCCTCTCTTAACAGGTTGACACAGACAATGACCTGTAACCGTTTCCTCTCTAACAGGTTGACACAGACAATGACCTGTAACCCTCTCCTCTCTAACAGGTTGACACAGACAATGACCTGTAACCCTCTCCTCTCTAACAGGTTGACACAGACAATGACCTCTAACCGTTTCCTCTCTAACAGGTTGACACAGACAATGACCTGTAACCCTCTCCTCTCTAACAGGCTGACACAGACAATGACCTGTAACCCTCTCCTCCCCTCTCCTCTCTAACAGGCTGACACAGACAATGACCTTGTAGGAGACCAGTGTGACAACAACCAGGACATTGATGAAGACGGTCACCAGAACAACCTGGACAACTGTCCTTACGTGGCCAACTCCAATCAGGCAGACCACGATAAGGACGGCAAAGGGGACGCCTGTGACTTCGACGATGACAATGACGGTATCCCTGACGATAGGGACAACTGTAGATTGACGCCCAACAAAGATCAACTGGACTCTGACGGTAAGGAGGAAAACACGTGTGCATGGACGTATGCGTACTCGCACACACACACACACACACACACACACACACAAACAGACACACACACACACACACACACACACACACACACACCATGCATTAGCATGTTGAATACCCTCACACCTTTGAATAATGCTGTGACTGTAGCTGTCTGAATTAGTAGCCACTAGCTATAGGTTGATTCTGTAATAGCCCTATATAGTAGAGATAATATCTATAATCACACAGACCACTGCTTGTGATACAGGAATCTCCTTTTGAGGATTCCCTGCACCTGTCCACCATTAAACACAAAGCAGAACTTTTTTTACATTCATGCACCTGGGAACCCTAACCCTGCACCTGGGAAGCCTGCACCTGGGAACCCTAACCCTGGACCAAGGAACCCTAACCCTGCATTGGGGAACCCTAACCCTAACCCTGCACCTGGGAAACCTGTACCTGTCCACCATAAACACACAAGAGATGCCTTTTATCACCTTCCTTTTTCACTGATCTTTTTATAGTTCAATATGCCATGTTCTATTTCCCCTCTCTCTACAAAATGGCAGGTATACAGTGAAGTATGGTAGAGGTTTAGAAGTAGTATACGCACATCCAGTAACTTGCAGGTGCAGGGTACAAAAATGGATGAAAGAATATATAACATATCCGCACACTGTTGAATGCTCCCGCTGTTTTATTGTGCAAGTATGGTGGGTGGGTGAGTCAGACAGGAAAGGGTTAACAAAAATGAGTATTTCTGGGTCAGTGTTAATGATGTCATTAGCGTATGACTTCATTGTGCAGAGCTGGAACCCATGAGGTCATCATGCGGCAGCTAGCCGCCCAGAGGCTAGGACAGGAAGTTTTCATTCCGAAGGGGGCATCTGGGCTCACTTGCTCTCGATTAATCCACAGTGCCCAATTTCAATTTCATCATGCAGGGTTACCTGGAATTTGTTTTGTTGGCTTTAACCTGAAACAGTCTGTGCAGAGAGGGGGGAGAGGGAGGGAGGGAGGGAAAAGATGGAGGAAGAGGGAGAGGGAGAAACAGAGAGAGGGAGAAAGAGAGTGTGCCAGATCCCTTCATCCTCTTCACATCAGAACGTGTTTATTTGATAGAATCAAGTAGAGGAGAAAGATGAGGAAACAGGCTTTACAGCTCGTCTGTTTCTAATAGACTATGGCCTCTGAGATAGTTACATGTATCAATGGAAGTTGTCACGGCATGCAGAGATGGCTGAGACTCCTTATTGGACTTGACGGACATGCAGTATTAAAAGCTACAGGTTCTTGGGAAGGAATTGCGATTATTTTCTGTTCCATTCTTTTATGAAAACTTAGTAGACTGAATGAAAAGTCTGCCTGGGGTGGGAATGTTGCAACATTACTGATAGTGCGGAGACTAGAGAGTTATATAGGCCTACTGTAGTCGCCAGAAATGATGGACTTTGAGGTAAAGTTACAGGTTAATATGGATCGTTCTTTACCAATCGTGGACCCCAGGAAGAGTTGCTGCTGCTTCTGCAAAAGCTAATGGGGTTGCAAATAATAAACAAATAAAACCTTCCATTAAAAGGGAATAGGAGAGCAACAACCAAAGATGGACTGCATATATTATGGATTTTGACCCGTTTCAACCATAGTCTTTGTCAAAGTTCTCACGCTAGGCCTCTGTATTTTAACCCAACATATTGTATTATTTTATCAACAGGCGACGGTAGAGGCGACGCCTGCAAAGACGACTTTGACAACGACAACATCCCGGACATCCTTGACGTGTGTCCTGAGAACAACGCCATCAGCGTCACAAACTTCCGGAAGTTTCAGATGGTGCACCTGGACCCCAAAGGAACCACGCAGATCGACCCCAACTGGGTGGTTAGGCATCAGGGCAAGGAGCTGGTGCAGACCGTCAACTCTGACCCAGGCATCGCTGTTGGTGAGTAGGACATAACCTCAATATGTAGTCCCTATACTGCCGTAAAATATGTAATTATTAGAGATAAATTAGAGATATTTAATTCACTACAGTTAAGAGATGTGTAGATTGTCAACTCTGACCCTGGCATCACAGTGGGTGAGTAGAGCAGGACAACCTTACCTCAGATACTTTAGTATATGTAGTGTACATTAAAGTATGTGGACACCCCATCAAATTAGTGGATTCGGCTATTTCAGCCACACCCGTTGCTGACAGGTGTATAAAATCAAGCACACAGCCATGCAATCTCCATAGACAAACATTGGCAGTAGAATGGCCTTACTGAAGAGCTCAGTTACTTTCAACGTGACACCGTTATAGGATGCCACCTTTCCAACAAGTCAGTTAGTCAAATGTCTGCCCTGAGAGAGCAGCCCCGGTCAACTGTAAGTGCTGTTATTGTGAAGTGGAAACGTCTAGGAGCAACAACGACTCAGCCGCGAAATGTAAGGCCACACAAGCTCACAGAACGGGAACGCCGAGTACTGAAGCGCAAAGCGCGTGAATATCGTCTGTCCTCAGTTGCAGCACTCACTACCGATCTCCAAACTGCTTCTGGAAGCAACGTCATCACAATAATTGTTTGTCAGGAGCTACATTAAATGTTTCCATGGCCGAGCAGCCGCGCACAAGCCTAAGATCACCATGCTCAATGCCAAGCGTCGGCTGGAGTGGTGTAAAGCGCTCCGCCATTGGACTCTGGAGCAGTGGAAACGCGTTCTCTGGAGTGATGAATCACGCTTCACCATCTGGCAGTCCGACGGATGAATCTGGGTTTGGCGGATGCCAGGAGAACGCTACCTGCCCCAATGAATAGTGCCAGCTGTAAAGTTTGGTGGAGGAGGAATAATGGTCTGGGGCTGTTTTTCATGGTTCGGGCTAGGCCCCTTAGTTCCAGTGAAGGGAAATCCTAACGCTACAGCATACAATGACATTCTAGACAATTCTGTGCTTCCAACTTTGTGGCAATAGTTTGGGGAAGGCCCTTTCCTGTTTAAGCATGACAATGCCCCTGTGCACAAAGCGAGGCCAATACAGAAATGGTTTGTCAAGGTTGGTGTGGAAGAACTTGACTGGCCTGCACAGAGCCCTGACCCAACCCCATCGAACACCTTTGGGATGAATTGGAATGCCGATTGCGAGCCAGGCCTAATCGCCCAACATCAGTGCCCGACCTCACTAATGCTCTTGTGGCTGAATGGAAGCAAGTACCTGCGGCAATGTTCCAACATCTAGTGGAAAGCCTTCCCAGAAGAGTGGAGGCTGTTATAGCAGCAAAGGGGGGACCAACTGCATATTAATGCCCATGAGTTTGGAATGAGATGTTCTTCGAGCAGGTGTCCACATACATCTGGTCATGTAACGTTAGCTAACGCACTTTTGTACATCGCGCTGTTCCGTACATTTGACCTTATTTTAGTGCCCCAAAAACGTAATACTTCCAGGTCAACTGTAATATGAATACCATTGTAAAGCACAATTTCTCCCCTTTCCACCAAAATCAATGACGAGACCTTCATGCTGCCCGTCTCTGCATGATTGAAGAAAGCAATGGAGCTCCGCCGGGTCTTTATAAAATGGCGGGTGGGGAAGTGAAAGCTACTGCGTCATAGTGAAAGGGGGAGGAGATATGTCGTGTGGGGAACCGGCTTTTTTCACCCAATTTGTCCAACTTATCACCTCTAACATGTAAATAAAACACTATAAAGAGTTTATATAATGTCTCATTACATACCTATTTGAAGGTTTGTGTCAAATTTGAATTGGGTTTTTAGGGCGGCGCTAAATTTATCTTCACAATTAAACTGTGGATGTCACGGTTTTTGAGAGTCATGATGGCTCGCAGTAATTGATTGAATTAACTATTTATGAACTCACGAGTAATTAACTTTACACTCACCATTACACTCACCATTGAGCATTTATTGTTTGTAATCTGCGAGAGAAGCGCTACACCTGGTGGAAAGAGGCTGTACGGCACAGAATGAGTTGAATAATGCTGAGTATGTTACGTCGTTACGTCGTGACATGTCACACTTTAGCGTACAGCGTCAGCGGGGTCAGTTTTTTTCAACTTTTCTCCAATACTATTGGTCCATTACCATGTCAATCAATGCTGAATCGAAACCTAGTTCACACCCCGGATTTTGATGCCACCACAGTCGCTACAGTCCCATTCGTTTTCATTGCAGCCTCGTTTGAATGCCGCGGTTGCCCACATATGGACGGAACGGAGTTAGCTACCGTTAAGTGTATTCCCTTGTAGGGTAGCAATATTCCAGAAACTTTCCCAGAGTTCACTGATATTTCAGAAATCCCAGTTGAAGGATTCCCTGCCTTCTTATATCCTCCTGAATCCTGAATCCTCAAAAAAGGAGAAGTTGCAACCCTATACAGTTGTAGGATCATTTAGATCTGAGATGTTTCCATATGCAAGATGTCAAACTACTTCCATTATCTATGAATCGCACAATGAGCAGAAGTATTATTCAAATGTATGTGTCCCACCAACCATCCTTAATATTAACTTTTTCTGTTCCACCATCCTAGGCTTTGATGAGTTCAACGCCGTGGACTTCAGTGGTACGTTCTATGTGAACACGGACCGGGATGACGACTACGCTGGTTTCGTGTTCGGCTACCAGTCGAGCGGCCGCTTCTACGTGGTGATGTGGAAGCAGATCACTCAGACCTACTGGGAAGACAAACCCTCCAAGGCCTTCGGTATCTCTGGTGTCTCCCTGAAGGTGGTCAATTCAACCACAGGCACAGGGGAGAACCTGAGAAACGCCCTGTGGCACACAGGCAACACTAAAGATCAGGTACGCTAAGATCCAATATTCCATCCAAAGTGGCCACTCACCCTGACACAGCTAAGTCATCCAAAGTGTCGATAAAATGTATATAGTATGTATAAGTTGGAAGTAGAGGCCTAAGCGTTGTTGTTCACTAGTTTACTCCAATTAGGGAAGGGGTGGTCGGGTTGGAAAGTAATAAAGGGAAATATAAATTTTTTAAGGATATGTATATATATGTATATGTATTTATATGTATGTATGTGTATGTATGTATATGTATGTATGTATATATATATATACAGTGGGGGAAAAAAAGTATTTAGTCAGCCACCAATTGTGCAAGTTCTCCCACTTAAAAAGATGAGAGAGGCCTGTAATTTTCATCATATGTACACGTCAACTATGACAGACAAATTGAGCTTTTTTTTCTCCAGGAAATCACATTGTAGGATTTTTTATGAATTTATTTGCAAATTATGGTGGAAAATAAGTATTTTGTCACCTACAAACAAGCAAGATTTCTGGCTCTCACAGACCTGTAACTTCTTCTTTAAGAGGCTCCTCTGTCCTCCACTCGTTACCTGTATTGATGGCACCTGTTTGAACTTGTTATCAGTATAAAAGACACCTGTCCACAACCTCAAATAGTCACACTCCAAACTCCACTATGGCCAAGACCAAAGAGCTGTCAAAGGACACCAGAAACAAAATTGTAGACCTGCACCAGGCTGGGAAGACTGAATCTGCAATAGGTAAGCAGCTTGGTTTGAAGAAATCAACTGTGGGAGCAATTATTAGGAAATGGAAGACATACAAGACCACTGATAATCTCCCTCGAGCTGGGGCTCCACGCAAGATCTCACCCTGTGGGGTCAAAATGATCACAAGAACGGTGAGCAAAAATCCCAGAACCACACGGGGGACCTAGTGAATGACCTGCAGAGAGCTGGGACCAAAGTAACAAAGCCTACCATCAGTAACACACTACGCCGCCAGGGACTCAAATCCTGCAGTGCCAGACGTGTCCCCCTGCTTAAGCCAGTACATGTCCAGGCCCGTCTGAAGTTTGCTAGAGTGCATTTGGATGAACCAGAAGAGGATTGGGAGAATGTCATATGGTCAGATGAAACCAAAATAGAACTTTTTGGTAAAAACTCAGCTCGTCGTGTTTGGAGGACAAAGAATGCTGAGTTGCATCCAAAGAACACCATACCTACTGTGAAGCATGGGGGTGGAAACATCATGCTTTGGGGCTGTTTTTCTGCAAAGGGACCAGGACGACTGATCCGTGTAAAGGAAAGAATGAATGGGGCCATGTATCGTGAGATTTTGAGTGAAAACCTCCTTCCATCAGCAAGGGCATTGAAGATGAAACGTGGCTGGGTCTTTCAGCATGACAATGATCCCAAACACACCGCCCGGGCAACGAAGGAGTGGCTTCGTAAGAAGCATTTCAAGGTCCTGGAGTGGCCTAGCCAGTCTCCAGATCGCAACCCCATAGAAAATCTTTGGAGGGAGTTGAAAGTCCGTGTTTCCCCATCGACAGCCCCAAAACATCACTGCTCTAGAGGAGATCTGCATGGAGGAATGGGCCAAAATACCAGCAACAGTGTGTGAAAACCTTGTGAAGACTTACAGAAAACGTTTGACCTGTGTCATTGCCAACAAAGGGTATATAACAAAGTATTGAGAAACTTTTGTTATTGACCAAATACTTATTTTCCACCATAATTTGCAAATAAATTCATTAAAAATCCTACAATGTGATTTTCTGGAATTTTTTTTCTCATTTTGTCTGTCATAGTTGACGTGTACCTATGATGAAAATTACAGGCCTCTCTCATCTTTTTAAGTGGGAGAACTTGCACAATTGGTGGCTGACTAAATACTTTTTTTCCCCACTGTATATATATATATATATTTGCAAGAGAAAACAACATATGGGGGATTGGAAGTGATGCAGACAATTACATTGATGGAAGTTACAATCTATCTGCAATATTAAAGCTGATCTTTAGTAATTCCTTTTTCTCCTTCTCTGTTGTCCACAGGTGCGCACTCTTTGGCACGACCCAAAAAACATTGGCTGGAAGGATTACACAGCCTACAGGTGGCACCTCATCCACAGACCCAAGACTGGTTTCATCAGGTGAGCAGGTCCAGCCTAATGCCTATGCTTTAGCTCAGTGGGCTAAAACAGTCTTGTGGCATGTAGGTGACCTAGGATTGAATCCAGTCAATCACACCCATCGCTCTTTCCTCAGTAACAGTCTGAAAATACTTTTTGTGAAGCACAAATTATATACTATAGGCTAAGCTGTTATCCAGGGTGTTTTGTCCATAGTGTGTTTTATCTAAATGTTCAGCACTCCAAGCGATCATTTTCAATCATTAATGTATTGTCTTGTTTTGTAGGGTTGTGGTTTATGAAGGGAAACAGATCTTGGCAGACTCAGGACCAGTGTACGACAAGACGTTTGCTGGAGGACGGTTAGGCCTGTTTGTGTTCTCCCAGGAACTGGTCTTCTTCTCCGATCTCAAATACGAGTGCAGAGGTGAGTCCTGTAGCGAGCAGCACCGTTCTAGCTTGGTCCCAGATCTGTTTGTGCTGTCTTGAATGGTTGGTTGGTGAGAGATCTCTCCTTTTTGGGAGACAAAATGCAGCTGAAGGGGAAAACAAAAGTGTTGTTAAAACCTTCTAAATCTTTTCCAATACTCAGATGAGCTGGTGTTTCCAACTGTGTTGTCCATCAGGTAACAATCTTAAAGAGGTCTCTGTTTTGTGTCGGCTGTAAATCACGCTTTGTAAAAAAGAAAACACCAGTCACACTTTTGTTTCTGCTTGACACCTTGCCTGGTTCCAATGACTTAGACGCTTAGACTATTGTGTGTGTGTGTGTGTGTGTGTGTGTGTGTGTGTGTGTGTGTGTGTGTGTGTGTGTGTGTGTGTGTGTGTGTGTGTGTGTGTGTGTGTGTGTGTGTGTGTGTGTGTGTGTGTGTGTGTGTGTGTGTGTGTGTGTGTGTGTGTGTGTGTGTGTGTGTGTGTGTGTGTGTGTGTGTGTGTGTGTGTGTGTGTGTGTGTGTGTGTGTGTGTGTCTTTACTGAATGATACACCCAATGCTCCACCTGTTGCTGTATTTAGTGTTCTACATTCCCAGAACCATACTGTGTAGGTATACAGCTGTTACTGTATCTAGACTTCATCTACATACGGAATGACTCTGGATATGCTGTTATTCCTTTGCTTTGTTGTTCTAAATAATCATACTTTTTCTCCTTTTTTATCTAGATAACTGAACAGCGTTGGATGTGAAAACTTCAAATGGCTAAAGACACTAAACCTCATAACCTGATCACCAGCCTATTGCTGATTAGTTTGTCATTTCAACCAATAAAATGGAGCTTCAGCTTCACCCCTCCAAAGTATTTTTGCCTCTAACTTTCCATTGAAGGGCAGCCATAGCCCTTTACAGTTTTTCCTGAGTGCCTTATGTGAAAAGACATTTCCTTGAGAAGTGAAAACAGATGACAAGTGGACAAATGAAAAAGGCCTTGGCGATGAAAAAAACTAAGTAACTGATGTTGACAACATATTATAGGGATTCTTTGAACAACCACTTTTGTGCTTTACTCCAATTTTTCTCCTAACTTTCTACAGCTTTACATTAACAAAAGTAAATATAAAATGATTGTTACTCAATAAATATTGATATTCGTGCTGGAATAGAGAGCAACTTGAGGCTGTACGGTAAAGGCGTCTAGGTGGCCCAGCAACTAAAGGTCTCTGTATTGACCTCAGCAGCTTCAGCCATGCAGTGAAAAATGTGATCAAATGTAATATTAACTGCCAAATATCTGCCAAACTCTTAGTTGATATCAAAGCACACTGATGTACGTTGCGAACTTAAACAATGTTATATTTTCTATTGTTTCTTATGCCATCCTGAACTAAGGGTCTTCAGTTGCCCGTTTAAAATGTTTGTCAAACTCTAAAAAGGTTGACCGTGAGACCGTTTTATAGCATTTTAAAGTACTTTGGGATGTTTATACTAAGTTTGTACTATAATTTCTTCTGTAAATTATTATCGTGAGTTTATGTCTTGTTTTGTTTGTTAGAGATTGTAAATAATTTATTTATTTGTTTACACTGACGAAATTTCACAATTGAAGTACAACAGAAAAATCGTTGGATATCAACATCAAAATGTCTCAAACATCAAGATAAAATAGACTATCACAAAGTTTGTGCACTATGCAGTGTTATGTCATGTATTACTTGATTGATATGTTCACCAAATTCCCAAGAGAGGCCCTATCGTCACTCAAAACAATGCAGTGGTTTCAAGAAGAGGTTGTAGTAGTTGTAGTTTGGGTTCGTTATGACGCTCTATTCCAATACCCCTCTAGCATCCCACTTAGACAGAATCAAGCAATATATTGTGCATGCATTCTAAGTAGTATGCTAGTATGGACATTGGAACATAGCCTTAAGTGTTGAGGTAGTGCGCATGATGTAAGAGTGCTACATTGACGTAATGGTAGGAGTGTCATGTTTGGGGTTAGATGTAGTAGTAGTATGTGTGAGAGAGCGACAGTGATTATTATGTTAATGGTTCACAGCATCCTTGACCTTGACAGCTGATGGTCTGAGGTTTGAGTGTGTATGCCTGGTGTGACAGGGAGCATTTCAATGGGACACAATGAAAACTTGACTTTATGTCAAAGTAAATGTGTTGTTCACGTGTCAACGTTGAAACAGATGGTCATGAGAAGAGAACTTTCTGTTTTGAATGAGTGAAACGTTTAACCAGATGAAAGCCATTCTAGAATCTATTCAAAAATCAAGTAAAAATGTTTCTTGTAACTTTTGGTTGAATTATATGGATCAAGGATATTTGCAATGTATAGCTTTTTAGTTGTCATCAGTCTGCATAGCATTAATTGTTGTCAATTTTAGTTTTTCATTATTAGTAACTAGCTTTGTTATATTTTCTGAGGGATTTGGCAATGCACACATGTAAAAACAAATCTGGTATTCGTTTGTTGTTAGATTTACATTTTCTAAAACCATTATTTGTAAGTGTTCCACTTAAAAGAGATTATCTTATTTCATAAATAAATTGTTTGTACACCATGTCTTCTTCATTGTGATAATGGCAATTATGGATTGTTATAAAATGGAAATATGTTTATATTTTACATTAAACTGATTGATTAAATTAATAAATCAGATCCTTTAAATGTTGTCAAGAGAAGATGAAATCTACAGGCTTTCTATTTGAATCTAGCGTCTGCAAAGATAAATATTGAAACAATCATTTCAAAGCTATTATGTAAAGCATTTCACAAACTTGGAACTTGTTAAAAGCTCTCAAAGTAGCAGTCGGTGTTGATAGAAAGGTTTTTACCCTGGCTGGATGGTAAATAACATGTTGCTAATGTAACGTACTGTACATGTGACATTTTAACAGGTTAGTTAACTCCTTTCACATTCCATGAAATTGCATTGACAATAAACAACATATCTGAGGGACAGGTTCCTTCTCTGACCTTGCTGTGAGAATCCAAAGATATGTTTGAGAGGTTTTCGCTCCAAGATCAGACACACACAGACACACAAATCATTGTCAAGTTCAACGCTAATGAAAACCAACGTAACCATTTACAAGAGAATTATACAGTCACAAAATGAATGTACATCGATTTGCACTAGCAATTATGTTCCATGGAATGCACTGCAGCAAGTAGGATTCAGATGGCTTTCCTTGTCACGTTGCTGCTCAGGCCTTCGCTACACATCGCTAGTATAAAAACAGAATGACTGACTCATGCACTCAGTGGCATAGTAGCAGCACAGGAAAACACTAAAGGATGGGGTGGAAGAGTCTGGGGTCTTTACCTACTGAAGAGTCTGCACTCTGTACCACCTGTCCATAAGGTGTGTAGAGAGCAAGGACACTAAAGGGTTAACTCATAAAGGGGGAGGAGACAAAGGGAACGGCAGGTATGAAGGCGCTTGGAAGATTAAAGGTCTGCTCTTTGATGCTTAGACGTTTTTGATGAGAGTTGTTACATTTCTCCAGCCCCATCCCAGGTAATAAGCTGTATTTGTGGTTGTCTGGCTGTGTGGCTGGGCCCTTAGGGCTGAGGCCCACTGAATAAGCCCACGTGGCATTCAACGCAGCCTGGGTATGGGCCCAGAGAGCGTTCCTGGTGGCTCACGAGGCAATGCTAGAGGATGCAGCCATGTGGCACAGATAGCATACCACCGCTTTTCTGCTAGATCTAATGTGGGTCATTCAGTATAACCACTAGAACTCTGAGAAGTTCAGTAGAACATAGAATTGGAATAAGTCATTCTAACTCTATGAAATAGAAGACAATAGAGAGGTTTGGAGTATGCACAATTTAAAGTCACCCAAATCAGTATTTACTTAAGCATTCAGTTTGAAATCTGTTCTCATATCTGGTTGTAATTTAGAGCCCTTTGAGCAAATTACTCATGCAAAGTCCATTTGCATACTGTAACCCTCTTATTAGCACTAGCTTCATGTGTGTGTGTCCTGTCTGGCTAGGTTGGCTACAGTAAACGGATATGGACCTTGGCACCACAACGTCAGTCTAAATAATCCCAGGTCTGGGAGACAGACACAGCAGCCAGAGAGAGCAGAGACCCCTGGCCTGTGTCCCAAATGGAACCCTATTGCATTTTTTACATTTTTTGTCATTTAGCAGACGCTCTTATAATAATATATTTTTATATTTTTACGTATGGGTGGTCCAGGGGATCAAACCCACTACCCTGGCATTACCAGCGCCATGCTCTACCAATTGAGCTACAGATTCCCAGAGCGACTTACAGTTAGTGAGTGTATACATTTTCTTTTTTCATACTGGCCCCCCGTGGGAATCGAACCCACAACCCTGGCGTTGCAAAAGCCATGCTCTACCAACTGAGCTACACGGGGGACCTACATAGAGGACCACTTTTGACCAGAGTCCTATGGGTCCTCATGAAAATGACACTATATAAGGAATAGGGTGCCATATTGGACGCACAGAGAGGCTGGAACTGGAATAGGGTGCCATATTGGACGCACAGAGAGGCTGGAACTGGAATAGGGTGCCATATTGGACGCACAGAGAGGCTGGAACTGGAATAGGGTGCCATATTGATATTATCTAATCAGTTTAACTGCGTGGTGCCTTTGATCCCAGGGTCACTCTCACTCCAACGGTCCTCTCCACCCCCGCCAGATGGCTGAACCGGAATAGGTGCCATCATGTCTATCTACTCTTCTTAACTGCCGTGGCCGCTTTCCCCAGTCCTCTCCTCTCCACTCCCTCTCCACCACCCCCCTCCTCCACTCCCTCTCCACCTCCCTCCTCCTACCTCCCCCTCTCCACTCTCTCTCTCCCTCCCTCTCCACTCCCCTCTCACTCTCCCTCTCCTCCCTATCCCTCTCTCTTCACCCCTCCCCCTCCCCCCTCCTCTCCCACACCTCCCTCCTTCCACCTCTCTCTTCCACCTCTCTTCTCCAACTCCCTCTCTCCCCCCCCCCTCTCCCACCCTCCCTCTCTCTCCACCTCTCTCTCCCACCTCCCTCTCCACTCATCCCTCTCTCTCCACTTCCCTCTCTCCACCACCCTCTCTCCACCGCCCTCTCTCCACCCTCCGCCTCCCACCTCCTCCCACCATCCTCCCCCTCTCACCTCTCTCTCCAACCTCCCTCTCCACCTCTCCTCTCTCCTCCTTTCTCCCATCTCCCCTCTCTCCACCTCTCTCACCACTTCTCTCCCCCCACCTCTCTCTCCCCAGACCAACCTCTTGCATCTCCCCAGACCACATCTGCCATGCTCCCCGGAGACAACCCATCTGTGCTGACTCCTCCCCCACACCATGTTCTTCCCGGGACAACCATCTGCATGCGCTTCCCACGCAAAGAACCCGTCATGCCCCCAGCAGACACCTTGAATGCTTCCCTCCACGCAAACCCTGCTGCATCCCCAAGTCTGAACTCTTTGGGGTTTCTCACTTTGTAAAAGTCCCTGTTTACAATACTACAGAATAACAGACCTTAACATAATACAATAAACCCTTT